TCCTGTTGCTGGTTTAACTATAAAAATGCCAGACAGTTCTGCATATTGTCAAAGCAAGAATATACAGTATTTGCAGCGTTGACATCAGCTTCTTCGATGGTATATACACACACACAGATATAGATATATATATATATTTCTTCCTGCTGCAGATCTAATGCATTTGAAGTACTGGCACTCGATGGAATTAGCACTGGGATACTTCAGTTTTGTTCAGCGCAGGAGAGTGCTGACTGGCTGCGAGCATTATCAACTAACATCAGTGATTTGACACTACAAAATGTACGTTGTTTTCTATATACATATATATGTATATAGTTTAGGTTCTGTTGTGTTTGTTTCACATGTAAATATTATTCAAAATAACATCTGAAGATTCTTCTACGCTTCTGTCTTTCATGCACTTCATTATTTATTTATATTTATAGACATTATTTGATAGACAGAGCCACACTACATATACTGTATTATCAGATCTTAATTTTTTATAAACCAGCTGCTTTAATTTTGAAGAAAACAGTCTTGTGAATCATCAGTCCTTTGAATATGGATCTTACACTGGTTTCGTACCGAGACTGTTCCCTTCCTGGCTTCTTAAGAGGCGATTTTCATCAGAAATTATCACCAAATCCTATCCACTGGGAACATGTTCTGAATCAGGACATATGATTCGTGGCTCATAAACATATACAGACAATTTATCAGCACTGTGAAAACTTTACTTGACCCCTCCTGTGCCTAAGTCCTTACCAAAAGCGCACAGTCTACCTGTCAGGCCAGAGATGATTCATTTCAAAGCATAACCTAATTTTAGTACACAAACCTTACTTCACTGGGAAGAATCTCTCCTAACTTGAATAAAATGAAGTAGAGAATGAGATCAAGAAATTGGAACTTCTTTTTGTCATTGTTCAGTTGTTCTTGTCTGTTACGACTGGAAGAAACATTGTACAGAGAAGACAAGCTTTTTTTTCTTGAAAACCAGGTGATCGTTTGTGTATGAGTAGTTTAATTAAATTGTAAGTGTTCTATTGAATAGGGTATGTTTAGGAGTGGAATAAATAGTTGTGTGTATATGAAAGATGCATTGCAGTGCTTACTCTCTACAGATAGTCCTTGATCTACAACCATTCATTCAGAAACCATTTGAAGTGACAACGGCACTGAACAAATGGGGGTTATGACCAGTCCTCGGAGTTCCAGCCATCCCAGCACCCCATGGACATATGATCGCTATCTGGGCACTTGGCAACCAGTTCGCACTTGCAAATGGTTGCAGGACCCTGCGATCACACGATTGCCATTTGCTACATTCCCTGCTGGCTTCCCCACCTGCTCACCTTCTCTCAACCCCTCTCAGCACTTCTGGCACACCAGCTTCTTGTGCACCCCCATCTACCTGTGTACTCTTCCTGATCCATACTACATTCCTCTTCATCCCATGCTACATCCTTGCAGACCCTTCCCAACCCACCCTATACTCTGGCACAGGGGTCTCCAACCATGGCAACTTTAAGACCTGTGGACTTTAAGACCTGGGGAATTCTGGGAGTTGAAGTCCACAGGTCTTAAAGTTGCCAAGGTTGGAGACCCCTGCTCTGGCACACCATCCCCGACCTGGACCACATTCTTTCTTACCTTCGCCGTGCCTTTTGCACAATCTCTTGCACTCGCATGCACTCTCATCAACCTGCACAGCTGCCCTTTGCACCCTCATTGATCCTCGCCACACCTCTCATGCACCCACCCCCACACATCTTCACACACACTCTTCCTGTTCCATACCATGAGTATGTAAGCTGGTAGCAAGTTTTCTTCGCTTTTTCTTTGAAAAGAGTTGATAATCAAGTAGAATAAGATTTCCATGAATAAAACTCATTGTATAGTCCTTCAGCGTTATAGAGATTTTTTTTTTCTATTTGAAATGTATTTATACTGAGTTGCATCCAGTTTTTATTTGAACATTCCTTTCCTAAAATATACACCATTCAGAATATGGTTGTATCCCAATTACATAATCATGATAGTTGAGTTCAAAGGGGATTTCCCCCCCCCCGAAAAAGGACTTAATCTATTCAGTTTACTTTGCCTTCCTGCTGACTGAGAGAGGCCATATTTTTATTCAAATAATTAGCTACCGTGTTACATCCCATATTTGCTGTTTGTAACATTTGTACTTGGAATGTAAGTATTTACATTAGCAAAGCCAGCTCTCCTGCAGACTGCAGATTGTGAGAGGTTTTTTTTATATATAGCGTGTCATACGCTGCTTTGTTGAATACATTGGGAGCAAGGCTCTTTAGCCATTGACTAAAATGGGATTAATAAATAATCCCACACCCTCTCTAAAGATGGAGCAGCTGGTCTAGCTACGGGACTGAATAGCTGCATCTTGTAGAATGACTAGCACAATGGGGTTCCTCTGGGAATACTCTGTGACAATTTTGTAATACTGAATTTCAGAGTGGGAAGGAGCATATGGTGTATTCCTGGCTGCCTGCCAAACTGTCAGCACTGCTGGCAAAATGTTCGCCTTCTTTCTTATTCCAAGCAAAATTCACTTAATTCTTTAGACTGCAATGGGAACAAGGGCATACCTATGTCCTAATTATGCATGTGTAGAGAAGACTGAATGAGGAAAACATTGAACAAGATGGCATACATGGAGAAAAAGCCTAAGAAAATTGAGGATATACAGAGATGCTTAGTGATGAACTGAAGGAGCAGCAGTTCCTCTCAAAGAATCTGGTCAGAACAGTAAAGTATGTGTACAAAACCAGTGTTGCTCTTTTCAGCAGAGGCAGCAGCTCCATGTACACATATATTTTTTCTCTCCAAGAAAACTTGACAAGAAGCCTGCAAGTTCAAGAACAGCATATCAGTCATTTTGGATTCTTTTGGACTTAGCACTTCTGGCAGGGAAAAACTTTTTCCATTGAAAAGTAAGACATATGAGTAAAACACTGTAGTTTGCCAGACTGTTTTGAAAGGAACAGTTTCTAATTGAAAGCCCACATATTTCTGTTTCACAGATGGTGGAAATTTCCACAAATCTGGCTTAAGGGCTGGCCTATCTACACCCTGAGCTGGGTGACCTCAGAAAACAGAATTAGGTTACATAACTAAAATCACGCCTGCTTTAGGAACTTCCTAAAGACATCTCTAATGCTACATTAAAGAGGCCTTTGGTCTGAGTTTCGTTGCAAAAGAATTTCCCATTGGAGAGTATGACTGGTTCTTGTGGGACACAATCAAATCACATTGCATTTATTTTTCATTATCACATGATTCCAGTTTGATCTTGCCTGTGCTTAAACAAGAACAGATCCCATTGATTCCAGTGCAATTTTCTGCCAAATGCCGTTATTGTTTTTTTAAGAAAGGATTTTCATGAAACCGGTCATCAGTTATTTACATCTGACCTTATTCGGTGAGAAGTATTAGAACACCATTAATGTATTTCTAAAAATACATTTGATGCATAAGGCTTGTGGTTTTCAAAAAGGTTTCATTTCCAAATGCATTTGGTGTGATTTTTATTCTGATTGTGCCATTGTGAAATGGGAACCTCTCAAATATTGCTCTGTTGTAACTAGATTGCTCTGACTACCTTCATGGTAAAAAAATTGAAGTGGCTGAATAAGAAAGATAGAACAGTAATACAGGAGAAATACTAAATATAGTAAAAATCAGTCAGTAGGGAATCCTTTTTAATGAGCCACATCCACCTGAATTCCTGCCCAATTTGAACTAAAAACTTTTTTCTTTGAGAGAAATTGCCCAGCAGATTAATATGAACGCAGCATTCTGGTGCAGTTCATTATTTATAAAGGAGCTACTGCTCCAAGCTTCTCTACTTTTAGTACTGCTTACCAGACACTTCACTACATTTCTTTCTTGGGAAATGAAAGTTTTTTAGGCAGAGGACAGCTGGCTAAATTTAAGGCTTGGGAACAATAATATTTTTTTTAAAATATCCAGAAGAATTCTAGAAAGCCTAAAACCTGCTTTCATCATTTAAATAATATTTCAATGAGCTTCTTACTTTCATAAAAAAAAAAAAAAAGAAAGCAGCATAGTGCTGCAAGATTTCCTTTTGGGTGTGTGTGTGATGTTACAATGCACATACGAAAGAGATAAGGCTTATGTCACAACCACATAATGCTTCTTTTGTCATTAACCCCCTACTCAGCATGGCTGCACTAGGTTACAATTATTATTTCTAATACCACAAACCAGGGGGTGTTGAGAGGAGTTTAAGGTAATAATAAAGATGTGATTTGAATATTCTACATTTCTAGGTTATTAAAATGATGAAATCAGGCAAGGAAGTTGAGAGAAAAATGGTTTATTTACGAGTAAGACCAGCTAGTGAATTACCAAGATGCATTTCTTTATTTACTGTTTAGTTCGTCATCTATCATACCAGTACTGGAAATGTAAAATAATTTCTCAGTCTCTCTCCCTAAGCGATAGCTAGGGTGCTGAAGTGGGCTACTCATTATTCTCTCTAAGATTCAGACTTGGAAGTTGCAAAACTTCTATGTATCAACCCACCTCAGAACAGCATCCTAAAGTTCATTATCTTCTATAAAGAGCCTTTCAACCTGCAGTGAATTGTTCAGGCTGATAATAACAAACACACACACTCACATACACATATGCACCCACACACGCACGCACGCACGCACACACACACACACACACACACAGAGAGAGAGAGAGAGAGAGAGAGAGAGAGAGAGAGAGAGAGAGAGAGAGACCATTGACAGGTAACAGAATGCATGGACAACAAACAATTTGGACAAAAAGAGCAGTCTGGGTCTGTGGCAGCTCCCTCTCCTTGTTACTATCGCCTGAGAGCAGAAACTCAGTTGAATCAAAGCTCAGACAGAGCTTTGTCCTGAAGTGTGTCTTGTCTCTGTTTTAATATTCTTCATTGGTTCCTCCTCTACATTTTGATGTCAGGATAGCGAAAATTCAGTGTCTTAACACATAGCTTACCTGCAGAATAGAAAACCCCACTCACAAACAAAACAAATTAGATAGATGTAGTGCCAACAGTGATCTAAGTCAATATAATATTCACTATATTATATAATAAATATAAACTTAATAAATATATTTAATAAAATATAATATTTATTATATTTAAATAAATAACTTTTCTCCCAAGCCGAATTTGACTTTTTAAAGAGGAAGATTTTCCTCATTAGAGATGTAGTAGGACACCTTTCTTCGCTCCTACTTCCAGTGTAGTTTTCAGTGAAGTTTAGAGAGCATAAATCAGTTAGGATGATAATGTGCATTTGACAATGACAGAACAATATATGTTCTACTTTTTGATTTGCTGTGAAAAAAGCAGTTCTTAATCTAAGTTTTTTAATTAACATGTTAATCATTGTCATAATATATAGTTGTAAGACAAAGGCAATATCTTTTAGGATTGTGGCTTGTTTGATATATGGGACATACTTCCAATATATCCATGTAAGATTGTACCATTATACTTCTTTTGTGCTATCTTGCTCTCTTATTTTTTACTTATTCCTTATTTATCTTGGATGTTTTTTTAACTATACTGTCATTCTAGGCAGTTCCTAAACCTATTACTACTACTACTTCTACTTCCACTTAGAATCAAGTTCTGTTTGCTCTTTTTTGTATTTTTCTATACAGTATAACCTGTGAGAATATCTTACATTGCTTCTTTTGATACTTTATGGTTAACAACCCAGAGAATTGTAAAGTCAGTAATTTCGTGTGCAGTGTAGGTTTTATTTTTATATGATGATATTTTCAGCAAGGATTGCTCTGAAACTCCTGTTAAAACATTTTTATTGTAAAGTTCTATGTTGTAGTCCATTTTGTCTAGATATTGTGATTATCTTATTGTACTGCTTCGACTTGCATCCCACTAAGAGAAACCTCTGGTGAACTGGTTTCACAAAGAAATAATTAGATAATCCTGAAATTTGTTAGCCAAAACAAATTATTACTATATAAGATACATTAATCAATAGTAGTACATAACAACCCTTTTTGTTTTATCAGAATTATATCTTGCTTTTCTTTCAGGGCCTGATTTATTAGCGCATACAGTATACAGTAGCCCTTGAGGAAAAAGCCAATGAAATGTCTTCTGTTGGAGAATTTCATTAATATGCATTTTAGATTAGTTAATCTAAGCTGGATTTTCTGGACTACTGTGTAAATCAAAACAAGAATTTCTGTCTGGGTTCCATACTTTTCCAGATCCTACAGTATGGTTCTTAGCTCAAAGGTTGCACATTAGAATGATTGTATTAATTAAAATTCAGTTTCTTGCATTTAAAAATATCAGATTTATTTACGGTAAATATTTAATGAATAGATTTACACTCAAGCATAAACACAGTTGAAACAATGCAGATTTACAGTAGATAGATTAGTGTATCCTTATAAGGATGGTCATGTTATTAAGGTTAATTTTGTTTGCATGCTATTAACAGCCATAGTAAATCATAGATTTGCATCTTATAACTGATCTATAGAAAAATCAATACAAATAAATGCTTTAGAAATATAGTTACTGCCTCTACTAAATTATGAAGTATTTTTCCCTTATCATTTGCATGAAAGGATATAGTAAAAAATAAGTATTGTGTCCACAGACCATAGAACCAAGATCATGTATGAAACTCATGGGCTTTGTTGAATTTTTTTAAACAAAGCATGCCAGGTTTCTAGAGATATTGAATGAAGACATAAGCATGCCAGGTTTCTAGAGATATTGAATGAAAAGATATCTGTGAAAAGATATCTTGCACAGGTCAACCTACTTTTAAAATCTTTAGTAAGTGGAGATATTTATCTGCTTATTTACTACAGCCTGCCAATCATTACAAAATCATTGTGGTTACTGTTGGGGTTGATACTGCTTGCTTGCTTATTCTGTGCACTGTATTTTTCTTTTGACAATTGTATCCTATTTTCATTCAAAGAAGTTCCATTTCAAGTATGATTGGCAGGAACTTCTTTCAATCCAATATTGTGCTTTAAGGTGACCATCAACAACAGCAGTGAAACATTGAAGGGATCAATCTATTCCCTAGTTATTTGCTTGCTCTCAATTATTTTAGTTAAAATGGTGCATAACAGATAGAGCATAACAGAGTTGCTTAGGAACTATATTCTGCTGGCCAGATGCAGCATCCTGATTTTACTCAGAGCCAGAGGGCTATTGCATTGTAGTTGTTTAAGTAGTGGACTAGGATGTTGCAGACTAAAATTCACTCTCAGTCATGAAAGCTTAGTTTTGGGCAGTGCTTTTTTTGTAAAAAAAAAAAAAAAAAAAGGTGCCGGAACTCATACACGTCATAAACCCGCCTTGCCTACCCTACATGTTCCATCCAAAAAAGGTGCCGGAACTCCGTTCTGGGCATTCTATGACAAAAAAAAGCCCTGGTTTTGGGGATTTGGAGGCAGTCAGTCTCAGCCCAGCCTGCCTCACAATGTTATTTTTGAGGGGCAGGGGGAATGCAGAAAGGTATGTTTAAATGCCCCTTGAACTTCTGGGGGAAAAGTGGACTATCAATCTACTACTTACCCCGGCTGTGGCACATTTGAATTTGGGAAATAAAAATAGGATGTGATCGATGTGCTGCATCCTGTTGGTGCCTCCTCAGTTCAATTTCATATTTTCCTGGGACCACATGGTTACCATGAGAGCCCTGCAATTATAAATGAAACTCATAAATGACAATATAATTGCGGTTATTTTGTATTATTACCTCTTCCTATTCTTTTTTACAGATGAAGATGGCCAACAAATGCTGTTCTGCCTCAGACCAGGTAGGATGTTCATTGTATTATTCCTAAATATATATGATTTCACATTTCTTTTTCAGTAGGTTTTAAAAAGAGAGAGAGAGAGAAAAGCCAGTAATTATCCTAACAGTATGTGGCAATTTGTAGATTAAGCAGGTAGGAAAAGTATGTTTTAATGCCCGAAATAAGCCAGCTTGCAAAGCAAAATTTCACTAAACAGAAATGGAATTTGAATGTTCTCAGAATAAGTTATGATGACAAGAAGACAAGTGAAGAATTAAATATTTAGTTTGTTGACTTGCTTTGAAAATATAGTGCTTTTGAAAGATCTTGCTTTCTTTTATTATTTACTTTATTCTTAATTGCTTAGCAATCATTCACCTTCATCTATCAAACATATGTTATTTCCATTTGCATGTAAAAGCAGATCGCAGACATTCTGCAGGCACTAGCCCAGTGGTTCTCAACCTTTTCTTCACCACGGACCCCTTTTAAAAATCTTTTGTGTCCACGGACTCTGGCCACAGAGCCGCCCAAGACTTAATTCAAGATTTAAATAATAATATTTCTTCAAGCCTTTGCGGACCCCTAGTGACAACATTGCACCCCTCCCCTCCCGGGGTCCACGGACCACAGGTTGAGAACCACTGGTCTAGATATTAAAAAGTCAGCAAGCAAGGAGAAATAGAAAGAAAGAAAACCCCAGTTTGTTTACCCTAACTTTCTCTTCTACTTCTCATTAGTCTTTGATTACAAGGCTCTGTACTCTTCCTTTTAATACACCCAACATCTTTGTGATAAGGCTTACACAGTAATTACTTGCAAGGAAACAGAGGAGAAAAGGTAGCATGTTAGGCTATTTCTGCCCAGTTCCTTAGGGGAAAAAATGTTTTGGTCCCTGAAGTCATAAGATAGGTCAGTTCTCTCCTCTGAGGAGTGGCTCTATAGGACTCATAGCTACTACCAGCACCATCACAGCAGGGGCTGGACTGGGGACAAGCTAAAAATCCTGTTGATTCTAGCTCTCTTCCCAGTATCAACCCTATACTACATCCCTGAGAGAATTTTGACTACTGTGATTGAATGCAAGAGGGAAGACCTGTAGACTGTACACCTGTAATTAGCATCTGAAAGAAAGTTTGCATATTTCTCTCATTCTCACAGCCTAAAGAGCTCTACATTCTCATTCTCAAGGATGTGGATGTGTTCTTGCTTTGGAAATTTGCATATGGAAATACCAAAGGCGTGATTTAACTCTTTTGTGTTTGGTTCATATTCAGCCGTACTCCAGTAACAGAGCGCATGATCTTATGTAAATAACCCCAAATTTAAGTCCTGCCCTCTTCAAGTAAAAATGGGAAAGGCTAGGCTGAGCCATTAGCAGCCTGTTTTGACTCCTGTTAGATAGAAGATTGAATGAGGTTCCTATTTTTTCACATTTGTGTTAGAAATTGCACCTGGAGTTATCTTTGCAACATTTGCTTCTTATTATTTACCCTTGCTGTAAATCCATCCCCTGAATTTGTAGCAGAACAAAATCAAATCTAAGACAAATGTGAGCACTTTTACAAAGGCAAAATTTGTTATCCTAATTGCTTTAAATTTCAGTATCAGCTATTTTTCTTGAATCTATTGCATTTCTCAAATCTCTTGTGAGTCTGTGAGACTTGTGTGCTTTTTGTTGTTTTAAGGCTCATACATTTGCCTCAGCGTAGAAATGAAATGTCAAAACAGTACCTTAAACTAGTATATCATCTTCTTGTAACTTGCCAAATGTTTACCATTTCTGCTCTGCAAATGTGAACATTTTTTGATTCTGCTTTGTATGCTTTATCATAATGTTCAGAAAATTGAAAGTACTTATTTTTCTGTTATTTTAGGAGACAGATAGATTTGTGACTCAAAACACACATCACGGGGCCACATTTTCTTGGCAAAATTTTGAATTAGGTTATGTTATGAATAGAATCCATACAACTTGATTTTGAGTTATATTCGTAGCTTTATTTTGTTTGAGTTCTAAACCTAATTTTTTTTTCAAGTTAATTGGAATTTCTAACAGCTCATACAGTATTGCAATGCATTTAGAAATTGTAATTTTTGTGATTTCCTATTGCAGGCATACCCGTATATGTGTGTGTGTGTGTGTGTGTGTGTGTAGGTATACATTTGTGTATATATGTATATATATTTGTGTGTCTGTGTGTAATTGATTCTAGCAGATTTTTCTTCTTTAAAAGAAATAGTTGGGGTTTCAATAGCAGTGTCAATGGGGCCAGATTTTTGCTGCCTAGAAGGAAGGCAATAGGAGATGGGATGCTTCCCTTTGAAATATTGACTTCAAGGACTCTGAGTGGTCAGAAAACACTAATAAAGGTAAACAATAACCACATAATTTCTATAGGTAGTCCTCGTCTTATGATTGTAACAGAGCTTGTAACAGAGATTGTAACAGAACAGTTGTAAGTATGACAATCATAAAGTGGATCATCACATGACTGATTCAATTTTACAACTACTTTTTGGGATAGTCATTAAGCAAAGGGCCATGCTAAGTAAGTGAATCTACGGTCATTCAGTAAACCCATTGTTTCGCTATGTGGTTTTTGCCAAAACTGAAAGTAAACACTGGTTTTCTAAAAAATAAAAACATTGTAAGTCATGGTCGTGTGACTGCACAATGCTGCAGTGAGCTGTAAATGTGGACTAGTTTCCGAGCACCCAAAATATGGTCATATGACTGTGGAAAGGCAGCCATCACAACTTTGGAGCTGTGTCATAAGTATCTTTGGGAGGGCCCATCATAACTTGGAATGGTTGCTAAGCAACTGGTGATAAAACGTGGACTACATGTATTATAAAAATATAATAAAATGCAAATAAAAATAATAAAATGCAATCTTATATCCTGTTCCCTAGTAAAAGGCAACTTTTAAGAAAGATTGCGTCTGATTTCTGATTCTCTGTATTACTTGGGATGAAGACCCTCTGTCGTGATTCCGTGCCAGCCTGTGTTCCCAACAGCTGAGTTTGGGGAATCTGAGGAGGAGGTGGAGGAGGCATTTGGAGGGCCATCAGGGTCAGAGGGAGGCTCTGATGAATTACAAGACTCATGGTCTGATGAAGAGCCTGGCCCCTCCAGTCGTGTTACGGATGAAGCTCAGCTGTGTGGGGAGAATGAGTCAGACTTGGAGGATTCACACCTGATGGACATGATTGATGCTCGTAGACGCCGGCAATTAGCGAGAGCAGATCAGCAGCAGTCAATACAACAACTCCGGGGGGGGGGGGGGAAGAGAAGGCACTGAGAGGCAATGCCTTGGGACTGCTTTATAAAAAGGGAAGGTGTGGGCGGTGCTGGTTGCTGAAGGCAACCGTTGCAAAGTACTTCATGGGATCATGTTCTGTTAGTATTGCCGGTGACTACTTTTCTGTTTTGCATTGTGTTTCATGTGGACAATTTCCTCCATTTGGATTGAGTTTTGCTGCTTTTGTTTCTGGACTATTTGGCAGGTTTGTTACCTATATTAACAGGGTTTTTTTTCTTTTGAGTCTCCAGCTTATTTTCTCAACAGGGGTTTTGTCCTTGTGCCTTTAACAAGGATGGCCATAGGCTGGGATAGAACACCCTCAGCTTCCCCGTTTGGTAAGAGCAGACAGGATTATATACATGATCCTGGAGCTGCATGGGGCCAAATCATTTAAGAATAAAACCATATTGATTATCCACATCCAGGCATCAGTTCAGGACAATCATAACAAGCCCAGCGGCATGATATTCTACCAATGGTATATTATTTGACTGTCAAAATAGAGAATTCATTGCAAATGCAATAAACAGATTAGATTTTTATTTGGCAATATTGCAAGACCCAGTAATTCTCAGAAATGATTTATAATAATATAAAACAGGTTTTAAAGGTGGATTTTTCTTTTCAGCCTGTTATCCTTTACAGTATTAAATATTGATGATGATGACTACATGCCATAAAGTCATTGGTGACTTTTAGCAACCATTCCTACAATATATATCTAACTGACTTTTCATATAATAACTGGTTGGGTACTCCCTTCATCCTATTGGAAAACACTAATAATTCTTTCTGAAGAAAAAATGCAAATTAAGATATGAAAATATGTATTAATAATAAAATCATAGAATTAATACATTCATTAAATTAAAAACTAACTTGCTATTTAAAAAAACAAATTTGATATAGCATTTAACTTAATGTAATTATGTGCCATCAAGTTGTTTTCAACTCCTAGTGATCATATAGGTAGATTTTCTCCATGACAGCCTGACGCTACTCTAGTCTTTCAGGTTTTCCAATGGCTAATTTAATGTGAAAATCATTTTGGTTTATAATTTTACAAACAGGCTTGTGGAGGATGTCCTCAACTTAACAACCACTCAAAGTTATAGTCAACTGTCCCGGGGATATTTAGACCCAGGATACTCCCTCCCATAGTCACGTGACCACATTTCAGGTGCTCAGTAACTGGACTGCATTTATGGTCATTTGTAGTGTTACATGCTCATGTAACCCTGTTTTATTTTTCTACTTTAAAAAAGTAGTTTTTAGGCTTCTATTTCTCGTAGGGCTGACAGCATAATAAGTGATGTTTCCAGCCCCTTCCTACCATATCTCCCAATAGATGAGGACCCTTAGTAGGGCCCGATCCATTAACATGTCCTGAGCATGTAGAACTTGCAAACACATAGTAGGGCATTATAACCAGCACCTTGAATTGCATTCAGAAACAAACCAGCATCATCATCATAATATCTCATCCGAAACTGAGAGGCAGTTGAGTGGCAATTTTATGTAGATGCTGAATAATAAACTGACTCAGAAAGCAGAACAGGTTATCCAAAGAAGGGCAGCTTTTGGAGACAAGTGGTTGATAGAATTATTCATGTCACACTGATCTTGGCTCCCACTAATGCATTCTTTGGAAACATTGTTAGTCTATATAGTAAAATAAAATTAAAATCATATGGAATCTGATAGTATCTTTTC